GGAAACCAGCATTCCGTTTACTGTGGAAAATAGGTACTTGGGATGATATGTCCCAAATTATGGGTTAACACAAAACAGAGTGAACACAGCTCTGGTTTTAGTCTCATATATTCTGGTTGACTTCAGCTTCAGGCAGTCATTACAATGTCACTTGGGTTTGCAGTGATACGACCACACTGCAGCATTAAAAACTGATAAAGCAACAATTAAGCACAGGTAAATTTCTGGGTACTAAAGCTTAATTTTTCATATTTCATTATTAAAATGTAAGTACCTAAAATTAAACAGCAATTGCTTGAAAATGTTACTGTTTCTTTTCTATACAGCAGGTAGAAGAGCTGAGGGCAGTGCCAAGCACAGACTGCTCCTCGGAGCAGCTTACTCCCTAAGGAGCCTCAAATAGGATTTCCACACAAAGCAGGCAGAGTTAGTGCTGGAGATCCCCCTTTTTCATGACCAGTTGCTCCAAAGTGTCTGTTTATGGCCAGATCACAAAATCTAGTCTTTGAAATACTGAGATCTCTAAGCAGGCAGCACAGGCATATTACGATCACAGCTACTTTTTACAGCTGTGGCTATTCTGTAGTGCTACTCCAAGTGCAGATCTTCCTCCAGGTTTCTAGCTGTTCTCAATACCACCTAGCATAGTGCTGCTGTCAATACTCATTAGGAACTGGCATATAAAGCTGCCTTAGCTGATGGGTTTAATAGCTTTCACACTGCATTTATCCTTTATCCTTCTTCCAACCTGTAGATTTATTATCACTCCTAATTATCCATTGTCTTGGCTTGATTTGTTTGCTGGACAGAGGTAATTCAGTAACCCTGTTTACAACCTACATCCCTTCAGGTGCAATGAGCTGCACTGCAAAATCTGTAATAAGAAGCCTGAGGGGAACAAAAGTACCACAGTATTTCACCTCTTTTCTCTAATCAGGACAGATAACAACTTCATCCCCTTTCTCTTTACTTATCCTGCTCAATACCTCCTGTAAATCGGGTTATCTGGTGGTTCAGCACCTTCAAGAGTAAGTTAGAGATTAGCTGCTGCCCAGCAGAGTAACATAAACCACTTAACACTCTCACACCTTTCGCCTTGGCCCTGAGCTGTACAGTGCTCTGCCAGATCTAATGTGGCATCTCATGCCACGAAAAACAGACAGAAAGATCCTTTAAGGGTGTATTAGCTGGAAGAGTATTTAGAGCTACAGAACAAACAGAGCAATGCACACAGGCCAACCCTTTCAAAGCTGCCCAATGCATTCAGCTCACCAACTCCCCAGTACTACAAATAGAAACCAAATGCCCAGCTTCCTACTTCCCTTCAAATATCTCAGCATACATGTGCAGCTATGTGTTGCTTTCTGAAAGTTAACCTCACAAGAACAGCTTATTTTCAGTATGGTGGTGATTCTTCCCCTTATTTGTAGCCTGCTGGATATGGGGGCTGTTCATAAAAGCATGCAAGAACAGGAGTTTGCTTTCCAGTCCTTCCAGCCAGTACTCACGGAATGATGGCTCAGATTAGAAAAGCATCTGTACGCAGCAATTGGTGAAGCGACACTCAATCGTGGTAGCTCTGCTGAAACCAGAGGTGTTAATTTATAACAGCTCTGGGAAGTGCACAGAAGACCTACATGATCTTTATTTTAAATATTGCTAAGGTTTTTTGCTTTTCTGTCTGACACTGATGTACTTTTCTTCTGTTCATAGTTTACCCAACTGCTAGAGGTATCGGTAGTTTTCTGTAATCAGCAGTTGTCCTTACTGAGGACAGTGTAATTCATCTCTTTCTGGGAGCCCAGAAATCCTTCCCAAAGGCAGGAATGCAGTGCAATACTTGCTTCCTCTTCTCTATTTCTTCAGCAATTTTATCAAGCTTTCCCCATTCTTATTACTGTTGATAATACAAGGCAAACCTGAAACCCCTTCCATCAGAGGAAGCCAAAGTCTTTCAGGAACAGGACTGAAACAGGCTTCCTGCTCTCAAGAGCGATGCCGACCAACTGTTCCCATTTTCCATGTTGCATATAGAAAATGTCTGTAAAGACTTGCCAGAGGTGACACAGCATGACAGGTTGTGTCCACAGGCCGGTTCCTATCTCCTATAACCCATCAGCAACTGCGTTCACGAGAGCCCTGTGCTGCCTCAGATGCAAGAAAGGAAGATGGGTGTTTATTCAGACAGTGCTCCTACTGCGTTCATGTACTACCATGCATCATTCGCTTCCCTCCGTGCCGTATTAGTCATTCTCTTTGACTTTACAGGTGTTCTTGGACTGATAAATTTATAGATACAGTAATAGGATTCTGAATTAAGACACAATTTAAGAACACGGTTTCAATTGCAATGATCTGTGGATATGAGGTCATTTAGACCGGTCTACTTTCCTTTTGCCACAGAAGATTTGTAGCTCTTATTCTCCCCCCCCAAGCAATGATCACATGCTGTTTGCTTCAGCACTGGATGTTGCAATACTTCAATGAATAGTATACAAGAAGCAGAAAATAAACAAACCCCCTACGCCTGGGGATAATGTGTGGTGTGTTTTTCTTTAGGATGATTAAATGTGAATGCATGTCACAGAATGTAGGGATTGCTCTGCGGGGAACCCATGAGTCTGAGAACATCCAGCCCTCTGCCTACCCAGGCAAATGGCCACGGAGAAGGTTAAAGGAGCCCCTAGGCAGACCCAGCATATGCACTGCCTGCTCCCTGCATCAGCTTGGCTTCTTTTCCTCTAAGATACAGGCGCTTTGTAGACTCCTGGGCCAAGTTGTACATTCTTTCACACCTACAAAGTTTCATCCAAGACATCAGCTTTCCACCATGGACCCAGGAAGCTGGAGGTGGCTTTGCCGGCCTTTCCCCCCCACTCTGCTCCTAAAGCCACAAAAGAAACCTTTGAGGTTGACAGCAAAGGCCATGCGCTTCACGCCTCAGGGGACAGCCCCACATGACTCTCACCAGGGGTATCTGCTGTCCCTTCCTATTGCAATGCCAGGAACACAGCTAAAGCCATTTTCCTTTACATGGAATTACCCTCCTGTACACCTTAAGCAAAACTTCCATCTGATGCCTTAACAACTGCACAGATCAGCGTTTTTGGTAGGTACAAGAGAGTAACATGCCTGCAAGGTAAAGTTTTCAAAATCAAAACTGCTTTGGAATATGTCACGTTGCTTTTCTCGCCTGTGGTAGTGGAGGAAGCACACAGAACAGTGCTGATTTTTGGAACACGAATCAGCCCATATTACAACTCAAGACAACGACCACCTGCCCATCCCCGCTGGAAGCAAGGAAAAACCATTTAAAATAAAATCTTAATATTTTCAGCCTCTTGTGTTCTTGTGTCTGGTTCAAAGTAATTTTAAGCAAAAATGTCAATCCTCTTTTCACCAAAGGGGTGTTTCAGCAAGAGAACATGGCCTGAGCTCTGCATTTGTGGTAACACCGAACAACCAATATACCAAGAAACGTCAGACTATTCACTTCAAATACATCAGTCACTCATTCTCAAAACCAAAGCCAATCCATTTTGTCCATAGCAGTAAGTCACACAGGCAACTACTGACAGCCCACATTACCATTTCTATCTATTGTCCCTCTCAGCATGCAAATGATATCCTCGCCTGGGCAGTCAGATTCATGTCTGAGCAAAGAAACACACCACCAGACTTCCACAAGCTTGTTTATCTTCAACTCACTTCTCAGGAAAATAAAGACTGACACAGACCTTCCAAGGGTGATCCCCTCTCCCGTCCACCCAGCAAACACCCAGTTCATCGCCTTCCGGTTTCTTCTTTCACCACAGCTACGCTTGTTATGTGGAAAAGTATTCTTTTTCTACTACTTTGTGGAAAAGGATTTTCAATAACAGATAAGCAACGGCGTCAGAAAAGGCTTCTAGAAGGGAGGTTTCGCTCAGTAAACAGGTGTCTGGGAGATTATCTCGCCAACTTAACCAAAGCTGCAAACATCAGAATGACTCTGGGATGACTAAAATCCCCCTTTTTAAAAATAAAAGCCTTTTATCTGCCAAGCGACACTTCCTGTTCTAAAGGCTATTCTCCTCGGTAGTTGTCAACTATGTATTAATCTAATTCATATAAGCCTTAGAAATAAATACTTTCATGTGCAGAATCTTTTGGGAAACTCTGCTTCCCTGAGGCTTTAAAGAGCAATTGTTGCTTATCACTGTGGAAATTTCCCTTGAATTTAAAGCCTAGTAACCAGGGGAAAAAATACATCAAATATTTCAGTGATTAACAAGTTTCCCAGTCTTTGTCATCCTCAAAGATTTTCATCTGATCGGTAGGGAAACTGCTAAAGAAAATAAAAGGAAAGTGCTCTGACCCAGTAAGGCAGCTCCTCTGCTCCCAGGTCCCATATTTGCCAGTCCTGTCCAAAATAACGGCACTCACTTCTAAAGGTGTCTTAGCACTGACAGCAACATCAAACACATTAGGCCTTATTTTAAAGGGTCTATGTGTTGGCAAAGAAAAATGCTACCTAACTACAAGAAGATAGTTAAACCCCTCCCTAAAGAGCTCTCATAACAACACCACTCTGTGTGGGAGAGGCAAAGCACTGGCAGAGCACTTAAAGGCAGGTAATTGAAGTTTTGCTGCGTTTAAACGCCATGGCTGTGCAATAAAAACTTGACGTTAAAAGCTCTCTAAAGCAGAGAACTTTCCTGGTGCCTTACTGGCTGTCATTGCTCAAAAACGGCCCTGCTAAAGCAGCGAATTGCCGTGTTTTTGTGCATTGCTGCATAATGCGGGCATGTGATAAATGGCACGGCACACATGTTAAAAGCCTCCTAGTGACGGAGGCTTTCAATCCTCTTCACATCGTTCGAAGGAGGAAAATAATGTATTTCAGTGACTAGGAGCAACCTTCAGTGTGGATGAACTTCAAATTGGTTGAGATTCAACCCACGACCCCAACATCTTTGCGTGCTACCACCTCAGAAACATCCAAAACCAAGCTACCCTACCTGAGTATGAACTGGTCCACTGTAGCGTTGTTGGCTATTGTCACATAAACATTCACAACCTCTCCTTGTTTGACAGGCTTTGAGGGCAACCAGACGACAATATTACTATCCAGCCGCAGCTCTGTCAGCTGAGAAGTCTCCTGGCCTCGATAGAGGCTGACAGATCCAATCCTCTGCAAGTGGGACATGGGTTCATCCATGCCATCTTTTCCTGGCCGGATGGCATTCCCCTTCCTTATATCCTCAGCGGTACACTCTCCTTTCTCATCTCCTGGTTGGATTGTATAGTAAAGCTCCACAGGGCTCCCCTCTAACTGATCCAGTGGCTTCTTGCGGCCCGTGACAACCGTGGGGGGGTTAAACCAGCTCGGCAGGAGCTCCAGCTCCGCCACACACAGCCCCAGGTCCCCTTTCAGCCTGCAGCTGCCCCTGACTTCCCGCGTCTCTCGAAAGGCAAAGACGCGCAGGCAGGGCAGCCGCTCCGTGGTGCTGTAGTCATCCCAGTCCCGGCCCACGATGTAGAACAGCACCTGCACTTTGGGCTTGCTCGGGTAAATCTTGTCACTCATTATATAGGCCTTCAGTTTCCAGTTATAAGTAAACTTGTTGGCAGATCCAAAAAAGTTGGAAGTTAACATTAGGTCCTGCGGCACAACTTGTTCAACAGAAAAGGGTCCGTAGCTGGCATTTAATATAGGTGGTCTCTTAGCTTTGTATGGGAAGAACGATTCCACCCTGGACTGCAAACTGGAATTTCTCATGAAGTCCTGGTTGGCTTCTTTGAGAAAGAAAGATGTCTCAGCACTGAAGATGCGATAGCTCACAGGTAGGTACGTTGGCAATGAAGAAAATCTCTGATTATTGTCCAAGACCCCTCGACACTCTGCCACTAATGAAAAGAAAAGGTAATGTGAGTTAGAGAAAGTCTGCTTAGAAATTCAAAGGGATATTTATAATAACTTTAGTGGAGTGGTAAGTTAGGGACAAGCATTATTTCACACACAAAAACATTTACAGTGTAGCTACGTGTTCAAATGTAGAAAATTCCTTTTTGCATTACAGTCACAAAAGAAAAATAAGCAACTTCAGTGCCACTTTGCATTTATCCATCACACACACGTACATACACAGGGGTTGTACAAAGGGTTGTGTGCAGCTCGATCGATTACTCGCACTCCCAGAGGGAGTCAAAAGAGGAAGGTTCACAGAGCAGAAGCAACGCTTGTCCCAGTAGCCCTTTACATGGCTCAGCTGAACGGCAGCAGTGCTTTGCTAAAGCACAGCAAACGCAAAGCACTCACTTTGGCTATCACCTGGATGAGAAATAAATAGGTTACTTGTCACAAAACCTCAAGAATCACACAAATCAAAGGAAAAGCTTTCCAAAAGCAATTCTGTGAGTAAACAGGGTGTCTTTCAAACCACCCATGTGCTCACCTTCCCCACTCTTTTCCCAGTCCCCTTCCAAACTTTCCACCCACGTAGAAACTTCCCTGCTGTCTTTCCAATCTTTCAGTTACAGCCTGCAGATGCTGTTCAGCCTGCTGGTACTGTGCCCCAAAGGACTCCTGACCACTGTCCCTGCAGGAGCACTTGCCAGGAGATCAGAGACCGTTTCTGTTCTACAGCCAAAGACAGAAACTTCTCTAAACTCACACACCCCATTACGCTTTCTTCCTCTGTCAAGAAACCTTGCTCCCCTATTACTATTGCTAGCACTGTGGTCTACGCCTCTATAATCTAATATCAAGAGTACCTCAGCTTTTTAAGTTACTTAAACACAGATGTACATCACAGGCTAGAAATATTTCATCGAGTGCTAATACACAAGATGCACACAGAGAGAGATTAGTACATATTAGCCGATTCTAAGTTTCACCTGAATATCAGATTCCTTTTGACGTAACCATTGTTTTCCTGTTATAAAGAACTATTCCAATTTGGGTGGATAACAACAGAGGTCAGTTAAAAATACACACATTATATAATGCTACTCACAACCCCTCATCCTAACTCGTACTGAAGAGATTAACTATAGGTACAGTAGGCAAATGAATGGTGATGCATCTCATGTTAGACTGTCCTTTGCTTTTAAAAATAGAACTTGCCCTCAGACATATGTCGGCTCCAGTGTCCTTGGGGAATCCCATCAGAGCCAGGATTTAAGGTTCTGTGTAAGTTCAGCTCTTTAAAGAAGGAAGGCAACCATCAGGGCAATGCACAACGTGCAGATTCAACTGAAACTCAGGCACACCTCAGGATCTCTAAAAAGCCCTACAGAGACAGACCCCTTTGATCAGCTTCCTCAAAGGTCTGCAGCTTGAGGATTTCTGCAAATAACAGATTCGCTGTCTTTCCAGCATGGCTGCCTGTTAGCATGCTAATTACGGAGTCAAATTTAATTAAGTGCTTTCAAGTAATAAATAGTCAATATCTGTCATTACACCAAATGACTACTGCTGACAGACAACTCTGCTACAACCCTGTTGAGCGTGGGCAGAGCTACTGCACCAGCACTGCTTGGTGTTGGGAAAGCAAATTGCTCTGGAAGGCAGGTGTTAGGCAATTAGGAAAAGAGGAAAGCAACAAATATAGAGGAGGGGAAAAGCAGAGCTCTCAAAGGACAGCAGCCATAAATTTAAAATAAGGAATTAAGATGTGTTCGCTCATGTTTAATTCATGCACTGGATGGGAGAATTAGTTCTCATAAATGAGCAGACTGCCATGACTGGACAAAAATATAAAGGAAAAATAAATAGAAGGCAAAAAGAGAAAAAGGTAAGAGGCCTGTCAGTGAAAACACCAGAATGCAGTGTATTACCAGCACAGCACCCTCTCTGTCAAGTAGAATTGAGTTTAAAATAACATCAGTTTTATGTTACAATCCTGTAAGTCTCCAAAACTTGGTGTATATTTTACTTCTGCTGGAATCCACAACTGCCACCTCCTGAGCTGACTGATTTCCTCTTAGCGGAATCAAAACATTAGTCTGCTAGGGTTACGTCCCAAAGTGCTGTGACACCGAAATAAGGAATGCAAAGAAGATCAACTCAAAACCATGGACATTTCAAGCAAGCGGCAAAGCCTACGTATTTCTTCTGGTCCAGGAGCAGAACAGCAACGTGGGTTACTGAAACAGTAGCAGTTGGGTCTCATTTTCCTCTCCAGATCCCTTCCTCCACAGTAGATGACCTTGCTGAGATCTGGTCAGCTTCCTGCTCCCTTGGCAAAGGGCAATCATTGACATTTCAATGACGGATACCCCACGCTTTTAAAAGCACCTGGTTTGCTACACAAGAAGTCAGCTTCTTACTGGTCAGTCTGGCTACTGAATTTGACTTGACGAATTATTAAAGTTTCCCTATTAGGCATCCTGTTTTCTCAGGCCAAGAGCCTTGTAATATTAAGAGGGCAGCAAGCTCTAGCTAAAGAAAGCACATAAGGACTTCTGTGAACATAGCCATTAATTTAAGCACCCAGGTACATTTTGCTGAAGGGTTTCCATGAGTAGAGATACTCTCGATTTGGCTTTTTAACCATTGCTGCTGAGGGAATACCTTTGGCTTCAACAGATCTGCAAAAAGCAGAAATAAAGCCAGCAAGCTGCAGAAATGAGTGAAGTGCTGTGATTTCAAAGGGCTGGTGATCAGGATCTCTGCTTGAAACTTCACAGCTGTTTTGCTGCAATTCCCAGGACTTTTGCTGTATCCTCAGACACACAGCGCTCTCCTTGTTGCAGGCACTCCATTTATCCCGGATCAGTCACATGGAAGAGGTATGTAGGACTTGGCCCAATATGAAGAAAAACAGCCGAGCAACCTCCGCCTTAATGAGCCGAAGGCAAACAGCAAAACTTCTGTGGTCAGACTGACAGCAAAAAGAAGAAAAAGCTTTGTTTTTTTTTACTGTAGCCTAAAGATTTCCACCCACTTTTGTAGTGTACATAATGGAGTGCTATATTTCTATAGCGATGGCTGTACTTTAGACAATTTATTTAAGCACTTTAAGCCTTTTACTGATAGAACTGGTAGTTAAAATTGTCCATTTTACTTTAGAATCCTAACCATGTGCATCAGCAACCACAGGCCATCATTTAAGGGATTTGGTCTATATTCTTCACCTCTGCCCAATAACTTTCACATCCTGGTATAATTCATGACCAGTCTTTCCACAGAACATTTTTGTATGCTTGATCACCTCAGCTACAAAGTTCTTTGATTTATCAGAGAATCTGTTTAAACAAGATGCCAAGGTTTCCTATCACAGGTTATTATTTTAAACAATCATTAAGCATAAGATTACTTTGTCTAAATAGACTGCCTATTAGAGGAAGAAAAAGGAGAAGCCATGCCTATCATTGCTTTCAGGTGCTCTGGCACACATTTCTCCATTCTAAACTTTTTTCTGCTCAACCACTGAAACACATTTCCAGAGGTTCACATAAAGCAAGGTGTGAATTTAAGCATTTGATCCCTATGAGAGTATCAGTTGTGGGAGCAATACCTCACTGCCTGTTCAGCCTCTAACGTGGGCACAGCTGTAGCAGTGAAGTGGAACTGGGTGTCTGACAGGAGCGCTATAAGCGCATTCATACAAACACAACTTACATCGTGGAAGCTGAACTTCCTCAAACAGTTTAGCTAAAGGGTGTAAATACCCTGAGGAAAACCCTGGATGCTTCATCTAACAGTCTTGATCCTTAAAGAAAGATGCTTGTTGACCTTCCAATTGGGTTCAAATAAGTGAAACTCCCATGTCATGATGTCTTACACAGGCTGAAATCAAGAATATGGGCAAGGGTGAGAAAGGAAATGCAGCAACTCTGTTTCTGTACTGAAGAGTAACTCTGATGCCAGCAGGCCTGACTTACAAGTAGGCAGTGAGTGCTTTACCCTTCTACATTAGCAAACCAGTTACAACTTGTCCAGCATGGAAAAGATTAAGAACCATCAAATAAAGCTACTATTAGCCAAGAACAAAAGTTATGGCTTACAAGTAATTACTCCTCCTTTGTAACAGCCTGGTGACTTTTTAATCCTTCTTCTGGCATCCTATGCTTCTGCAGCACTTCATCTGAACCCAAACAGGCATCTGTTAAGCACATTCTCGGCTCCAGTGTGACAGTCCAGCTCAAATTCCTGTAACCTAGCAAGTTCATTTTTGGAGCTGGATGTGAAACGGTGAATTCTGATCTGTATCATTATTTCTTGAATTCCAGTGTAAGAATATGGAGCTGGAGCCCTGGGTGCTGGATTCAGTGGAACAGTCATAAAAGCTTAATATTTTTTAGCCATTCTTTTATGAGGTTGGTTTGAAACAACTTTTCTTTGGACTGGGAATTAAGGGTTTAGATTATGGGTGGGAGATTACTGGCCAATGGCCATGTCTCTTCACTGACCGATGCTTGATGAGCCATTGAGCATCCAAGGAATCCATCTGCCTGCCCCCTCGGCCAAAAGCCTCCTGGCCAGAGAAAGTCAGTGAGAAGCAGAAGACATCTGCCTATGCAAAGGAGTAATGTGAGCTTTCTGCACCTTGTTCGTCCCTCAAAGGCAAATTCATAATTGCTCCTTCCAGAAAACAAACCATATGAATAGTGGCAGACAAATGTCTGTCCCTCTGTGTTTGCTAGCACATCACCAAGAATGCTGTAACTTTTCAGGCTGGGTCTTCTCCTTCATTTTATAACAGCTTCGTACCTCCGTTCCTAAATGTAGCTGTAACTGAATGTTGTACCATATTGATTTTCTTTCCCCAAAATCCCATGCCACTAGATTTATAAGGAAAAAAACCCCAAACTCTAATATTAGCACCACCACCACCTGAAATCCTGGAAATCCTGTATTATCCCCCCTCCTTACATGGACTCCCACTCCCATGCACCCAGAGAGGTTAACCGTACTGTAAGCACATTATACAAACCAAT